GCAAGAAGATGATGAGATTGTCGATCCATGTGGATTGAAAGAAGTCCACCACCCCCGCACTGGCAACTAGGAATCATATCTAGTGGCCGCACCAATGCCAAGATGTTCCAAACATCACTTCGCAAACTGCACACTTGTATTCTCAAAACTTGGAAATGGCACGCTCAGCTGTGCCCAGGTAAGTCAAGGAAGGCCGAGAGCGAATGAGCACAGATCGCTGCCCGCTTCTTGGGCACAAACAGCTCCGGGATCTGCTATAACCCCGTCGAAGCCAAGAGTGGGGAGGTCCCACCAATGGTCGCGATGAGCCCGGTTTGGCGCAAGAAAGGCGACAATGGCCAAGCTCTGCAACTTTCTGAATTCGACGTCAAATAAACAAACCAAATAAAAACTTCACACTGGCAAACTGCTTCAGCACCTCTTGCGCCAATTACCCTTGCGAACATGCCGTCTGCAACCACGTGAAGGGGCATCTGCTGGGTTTGACTCTGATGGAGTGTAAACCAGCCTTGGTAAAAGGTTGCAAGCCAGACATATAACGCCGCTGTGCTGCGCAGAACTCGACGCAAAGCTCGCGCTGAACTCCGCCCCTTGCTGATGCAACCAATGGCCGCTTTGGCATCCACCAGGATGACTGGCCTGCTGCTATGCCTGCTATGGCTTCGGCTAACCCATTTCAAAGCCAGAAGGACCCCATGACACTCCAGCAAACCAGAATGGGCTGAAAAGCGCACCCTGCTGGAGATGATGGTCTTAAAATCGCCTTTGGAAAATTGCAGCCGGTGTGGGGTTCCAAGCCTTGCCACTTCAGGCTCGTCCCCCTCATCAGGAAACAACCTCACAAAATCTCCACGGCGTTCCGCCAACCTGCCAACTTTTTGAGTGACGCTGCGCCCGCAGTTCAAAGAGCACACCCCAAAACCGAAGTCTGCGGCAGCATCGCAAGCCAGCAGCTCAGGCAAGAAGTCTCTGTCCAAAGAAGCTGGAAGGAGAGGCAGCAGGGCCAAAGCAACTAAAAACTCAGACCGCACTTTTTCAGGCACTTCTGGCTCCTCTGAACTGTCAGGATGTTTCACAAAATCGTATACTGCGTCGAAAATGCTGAACATGTTTCTCTGCAGGAGACAGAACCACTTCAAAACTCCTAACAAACTGTTGACAATCGCTGGGCTAGCTCTCTTGGAAACCAACAGGTCGCACTTTCCCAAAACAACATTGGCAATCTTGTGTAGGGCTGGTTCCACCATTGGCGGCGAGCTGACGATGTCACAGCCCAAACCAGTCGTGTGGCCAGCAAGGTTCACATCCTTCGCCTTGTTGCGAACAATGCCATGTTCTGCAAAGACGTGGTCAAGCCGTTGCAAAGTCTTGCGCCCCTGCTTCTTGCACCTGTGGAAAAGCAAGACATCGTCCGTAGCCACTGCGCGCAACTCATGTTGGGTCATTGGCAAGTCGTGGTCCAAGCTCAAGATTTGCGACTCTGGCGCCCCGCACTTGCGCAAGCATCCAATGGTGTTGGCCTGAGCAAGGGCGACCAGCTGAACCCCATTGGCCACACAACATTGACAGGAAAGACCAACGAATGAGGCTGCAGCATGGTGTCAAGGTTGTCAACTCAAGACGCTATCTCGCGCAAAGACAAGCCTACTTGGACCAGCCCCTTCACTTGCACAGGCTGTTGCCCAAACCAGGGCTGTAGCTTCTGAGGCGCAACCAAGCTGTCAAAATAGGTGCTTGCATCCCGCTTGGACATGTAGAGCTCCTCATGTTTTGGCGCGAAAATGTCTAAGAAAGAGCTTGGATTAATCCCAGACGGTGAGGCTTCGGAGGCGGCGAGGCCAACTCGGACACCATGCTGCCATCCCAAATTGTCCTTTGTCTGCCCTTCGTGGTCTTCGGAGCTGCAAAAATGTTCGCAATGCCTTTGACACCCAAACGCAAACGCAACTTTCCGCATTGCAGCTCCCGGGCAGTCAGGTGCACATAGGCCCGCCGCGCAGCCCGAGGTGCTGCAACACCACTCAAGCAACTTGCAGGCTCACAATGTTGGGGAAAAATTTGGGTTGGATCTGAAACTTGTTCCCAATCCCAAAGCTCCCGAGGCTCCAGTTGAGATGGATTGCAAGTTCCTGCCACAACAGGCAAATCCACATCCTGTCCACGTATCTTCTCATAATTGCATGCCTTGGGCACAAAAGATTGCAGAGACCCTTGCCAGGAAAATGCTGAAGCCCATGCATCGTCGAGACGGTGCAGGAAACGGACCACCCGACAAGCAATGTGCTGCACCACGGTGCGTTGAGCTTCGTTGCAATATGTCCTGCTCCTGTCGGGTCTAGGCACCTTTGGCATGCCCAAGTTGAGGAAGTTGAGGGCCACGATGCAACTATTTAAGCACTTTAACACTGCCGTGGTGTCTGCCATGGGGCAGTCCAGCTCCAGCCACTCAGGAAACTTGTGCAAAGGGGGTAAAGGAAAAATATCTGTGCCAGCAAAAGGTGCTTTGTCAGGTTTGCAGGGGCCAACGCTGAAACTGCGAGAAAAAGATCCTACGGGCAACTCTGTTCTGTCAATGCACTGTTGTAAGAAAAATGCAAACTGTTCAGAACCGCTCTGGTCACAATCGTTGGCTGCCTCTGCAGCGGTCGCTGACCTTGCAGCTTGTGCCGTGTGATAATACTGATCCAACACGTTCTTCACTCGCCCAACCATCTTGAATCGAATCATGCGCTGTCTGTTGCGGCGACTTCTGGCAGGGAAGAAACCTGTCGGAGAGAATCATGCACAACTGGTTCCATAGTCTTATCCATTCCCTCAAGGCGGCAGACTTAAATCCAGATCAAGAATAAACACAGCTGCCACACCAGCAAATCAAAACCCCCCCATCGCGGGAGCGCCAGGATAAATGAGCAGCTGAGAAAATGGAGATTTGGGCCACAAAGGCTTCTTGGAAAACCCTCAGTCACACAGCTGCGCGTGGCTGTGTCCAGTTCCGCCCCCTCTCAGTCTTAGTCGTCTCCTCTGGAACGCCCCAACAACAATATGTGTTCCATAAACAATAGCTCGGGTTTTGGTGTTGTTTGGGCCACATTTACAGCGTGCTTTTGCCAATTGTTTGCATTTAAAAACTCCCAAGAGCACCTGTGGGGACTCGGGACCCTTACTGGTTCACCTAATTTTCTTATATAATTACACACAATATCAAACGATCGAGCGTCGTGGGTTCATACTCCTTTCAGAGAGGCTGACACTTTTGGGACCCAGCCTTTTTGGCTGTTCTCCTATCGTTCCATCACTTTTTCGGGATGCATTGTGATCACTGTGATGACCCTGCATTTTGGTGTGCTGCATATTGCGGCAACTTCCCATGACCAAAAGAAACAAATGCTATCAAGTCACACAGTGACATAGTGACATAGTGTCACATATGTCGCACTCTACATGATGTGTGACATAGCCAACTGCAATAGCAGCAGCCACTCGGGTAAAGCTGCCGGCAACAAATCAAACAAATCACTCTTCATACTACGCCGATCTGAGCCATTCTCCGCAGTCCTGCACTATCATGCACCATCTTCCTACTTGGTATAACATGGCATAACTGTAATCCTTGTTTCATTACCGTCCCAGGCATCCTTGGAAGTACACGAGTATCGAGTGATGATTTGATTCAAACAAATGGAAGTAAAGCAAGTCACACGGCAGCGGAACTTGATGGATCACCCTCTCCAGCATAGCTTTCCGCCAAAGACTGCATTGAATGTTTCGAGCAAACATCGTGTGTGTATGTACATATAAACCTATCACGTGTCTTCAATTATATACTGTCTTCACGTGCCCTCGCACTATTGTGTGAGCATGCTTCGATCTTGCGAAATCTAGCATACGGGGACCATTGTATACCATAGTGCATGGTCCCTGCGTCAACGATGGGGTGAACTATTTGTTCCTCAGAAACTTGGAGAGTGTGAGCATGTGTAAACTAATACTGTAACAAATTCAGACAGCAAACATGCAGGCGGAACTCTTCTCGGCAGGACCAAGCAGTTTGGCCTTGGACTTGAGCTGAATGCACTTGATATCGGTCGCACTCTTTCATGTGTGACCTGTTCAGCTGAGAGGCTACAGTTTAGTATCCAATCTATCTGTAATCTGCCCTTACATGCTCCAAGGCCTTGGCATCTCCAGTTTTTGAGCTTAGGGCTCTGTCATCCATGTATGAGAGATTGTTCAAGATCGTGACATGCCAGATTGACTGGTATTCACAAGCACACCCCTTCTACACTGTTGTACACCTGTACGTAGCTACAGCTACTCCAACTACAGTCCTACTGCTATTGTACAAATGCACGCAGGTGATGGGAATTCGTACACAATCACACACGGCCTGTCCGAGTTGCACACTAGAGAAACAATGAGAACATAGCCTCTCTTGTTTGAAAACAAACAAAACAATTCAAAACGAACTATGACTCATCTTCAGTGCCTGACCTTCTTGTGGCCCTTCCATGTCTCAGGGGACTGTAGTCCTTCCGCAGCGACTGTAGCTTCTTGTCTTGTCAAAGGAGTCAGCTATTTTTGCACAGCAAAATTAACCGAACAGAGTTCAACTTAACAGCATGCTAAGATCAACTATCTGTTGCCAGCGCCTCCCTTTGAAGCCTTCAAAAGCCAATCTTGCAAATAGGCAAATAGGTTGAAAAAGGCAGTGCATGACAAGAAACTCATTCAATACAAGACCCATCAAGACAAAGTTGAGCTCCTTCGAAGTCCTTGAGCTTGCTGAAAGCAGCTTCGACAAGCTCAAGGTCTTCCATGTTGCCCTAAGACAGGGCGTCACATTTTACTCTCTTTGCACGATGCAAGGTCGCTTGCCTGTTTGTGCTTGCGAGTTTATGGCTGGTCACTTGGTCTACTTGGTCTGCGGACGGCCATTTCCACGAAGACATTGCCTTTGATAGTCTTTCGAGCCCTTTGCCTGCAGAAGGAGTTTACAACCTTGTTTGTTTTGCACGAAGGAAGGCAACACCTGTGCATTCGTTTGATTCAATTCTTCGACACGTGTTATCAGAATCTCTGAATGCTTCAGTGCTTTTTGTGTGCGTTTGATCAAGGAAGGCAAGACCTAGCCTGACAGATGTCTGCATACAGTCCTTCGCTGCAAGATATTCATCGGATTTGTCCATGTCCAACCTCGCAGCACCAGCCATCAAGATCTGGGAATCATATACGAGAAGCTTGGAGGTCTTGCGATGTGATGCGAAATCAACATTGTCATGTATGAAGTAACCTCGCCTGACCGATCTTGGATTGGTTTTTGACATATCCTGTTGGTCCTTGCAGCCTGCATAGGCATATTGTAGTAGTTTATTTGTGCGGAGTCAGGGTACGCAGGCTATAGATCATCGGAGCATCCTTACCATTTGAAACACATGCATGACGCATGCATGGAGGAGGCCCGTATTGATGCAAGCACATGGTCATTTCTTATTGTTGCTTGTCTTTGCTCTTCAAGAATTGCAAATCCTCTCTCCAAAACGTAACAAATTTCTGCTACAGGTCAAATCCAGTGTTGCATGCAAGAACCACTATCAACCTAATTGTTTCCAAAGCGGGGAGTGGCCAGCGGCTGCTGGCTGCAATCAACATCAACAAACACAAAATACTCGGCACAGGGACCAAATGGAACCAATTGCCGATGAACCTCCTTGCAGACTCGTTTGCACGACTAGGCAAAGATCTGAGCCAGTTGCTGCTTGGCTCGCTGAAGCACATTCTGCAGCCTTTTGAGGACCTAAGCAGATTTACAACCAAACATAAACAAGCAGGCAGCAGGAGCAAACAAAAAATGCGTGGTTTGTTCTGTGATGGAAGCGGTTTTTCATTCTTGTCTCTTGTCATGGCATGAACATCTGTCCACTGTTTCGCGTGTAATGCATTTCAAATAAAGCAACACTGTGACACTGTGCATTGTCCATGGCCCTCAACAACCAGCGTTACTCCACCGTGCTTTTACATTGTTCTTGCCATTGAGTGCTGAGCAAATTGCAGTAGTTCATCTCTTTAATATTCTTTAATCATAATCTAGTATTCACCCTGGCATTTAATAACTGTGTGCGCAGCATCGGGACTGTTGTCTCGCTTAAGCTCCTCCTGCTAGCAAGCAGCTGCGTGGTTGGCAGTTTACAAGAAGAACATCTTAAATCAGCAAAATCAACAGTCCTGCAATTCGTTCAACATCTCCAACAAAGTTGCCTGGCGCAGGCATGGTTGATCAAAGTCATGATACTGTGAAAAGCAAGGGTTGAAAAGTCGGACCATCCAAAGCCTTTGCAGACATCTTTTCGAACAAATCCTCGCATCAGCAGCTTGAACACCAAACTCCACGACTTGGCTCTGGGCGCACCACGTTGAAGAGTTATATAGTTTGAAACGCGCCAACTCTGTGCATAGTCAACTTCTTTTGTCGACATGTGCGAAATTATAGCACAAACAGAATAGAAGAAGCCAAAACATACAAGGCTCTGCGAAAGAAATGAGGCGCTAGCCAGCCACATACAGCGTGTTGTTCTTTTGGGGCACTTCAAGTATCCAAACCCAAACATTCCCCAGCAGACGAGCTGCAAGACATCCTCTTTCCTCTTCCACGCGCCATGCACGACATCCAATGAAACAACGGTTCCTCGTCTTCAAATTCTTAGAAATAAAACTACCTGCTACTTACCGCCTTGCTCCAATTTCCCCAATCCTATCCTTGGCAAGCAGCTTTGACGTTTGCAAACCAATGGGACTAATTAAGATAAACGAAGAACTGTTCAGTTCTGTGGTCCAGTGAGCGGCGGCGGAACATATTGATCCCGGATCATATGTCCAAACTGCCCTGTTCCCTCATTCTATAGTGACGGCCAAATAGATAGAAACTTTTTTGGCAGGGTCCTTTTTACGCTTTTTTTGGCGTGCTTTTTTTGGAAAATGTGCTAAAAAATTCTATCTTTGGTATCCCTGCATTTTTTCCAGCAAACGCTAGTTTTTCCTTTCTGTGCTTTGCTTTATGCTTTCGTTTTGTCCTTAAATGCTGGTGTTGTCCTTTCTGTGCTCTCTGCATTTTTGCTTTATGCTCTCGTTTTGTCCTTAAACGCTAGTTTCTGCTAGTTTAATCTATATAAATCTAGCTATCCTTTCACTTTGACTTATCGTTTTGGGCTTTTCTGTCATGTGTCCCCAAAAGGTTAGCTGCTGATGCCATGTAAAATGTTCATTGGCATGTCTAGATGTGCGTTTCTATCTTTGGTATCTATGCATAAAACCCTGTCAAAACGTAGTTTTCCTTTCAGCATTTCTTGGAATGTGTATGACTTTCACTGCAAAAACTGGAGGGAAACCAAACATTGACAAACAAACAATTATGATGTGCGCGTTTCCAT